AGTTAAATTTTTCAGCGCTGCTTTTTATCACAAAGCATTTAATTCTCAAGTAGTTCTCAAAGAATAGTGCAATATTCCAGGACCAACAGGTTTGCACAACACAGAAAATGAGCAAGCGAATCTAGCTGTTCTATGCGGATGACCTTATACATCACAGAGGTTCTAATAGTCCACGTTATCCAGAATCTACACCCAATACAGCAAAGGTTTTGCGATTCTTTTCATCAGCATTGTATATGTAGTGTTTTCAGTTTCAAAGTAGAATGCACCTTGAAACTGGTCAGACCTCTTCCCATTTCAGAACCAGAAAGTTGGAAAACCTAAGGAGTAGTCCAAACTTTGCCACTCAAAAGCTTAAGCAAGACACTTTCCCTCTAAAATCCTTGTTACAAGATTTTAAAAACTCCCTTATGTATTGAAACTGGCCTGAGGCCCAGAGAGGTCAAGAAGTATTCTAAGGTCACACAGCAAGTTAGCATAGAACGATATAACATTAGAACCTAGATCTCCTAATTTTACTTAAACACCCTGACCTCCCCCTCAACATATGGAAGGATGGTAAAGACTACACGCACACATACACGCACACGCACGCACACACGCACGCACGACAGAGCCTCCTTTCACCATCGCCGTCCAGGCTCCTGTTTCTAAAAACCTAAATATACCTGACCTTGGAGATTGCCGCTGCAACTGTGACTTCCTTTCTCTCCAATCCCCTCTGGTAGTTGCTTTTCTTCCTCACTATATAGTTTCCTCCTTTGACAAAACACATACTTTCCTAGAGCAAAAAAAGTTTAAGCCAGAACCAAAGTGATCCAAATACAGGAACCCTGTTCAAGTGTTACACACGACTGACCATAACTCTACCCAGAAGCGTATCTGACAAGATGGAATTTGTTCTCATCGGGAAGGAATTTCCCCCCCCCACAGTATATCACTTGTCGAGCAACCTTGTCATTTTTCCCACTGCTGCATAATCACATAATGAAAGCCCCAGATGTAATTCATGTACACAAGAGGGCAGACTTATGGCTGATAAGGGACCCTTTCTTTATTTGCATTGCTAAGAGTTTGTTAAAGAATAGGCAAAATTCTGCACATAGAGGGATAAAGGACAAAAATGTCCTTTTTCCGTTTTTAATAACAATGTGCCATGACCAACTAGTACGTACTCCTGGGCTTGATCCAGCAACTGTTCTCACCACTGCTTGAATACACAGAACAAGCTCGGGTGCTATCCTTAGCATGGAATCCTATTAAATTATTTCCCTTCTAACACCAAGCTTCCTTCTTCCAGAACATCCCATCTTTCAGCCACACTAACTACTGACTGTTCTCCATTCACACTACACACTTCGAGGTTTCCATGTGGTGGTTCTTCCTGCCAGGATTCCTTCCCTGCTATCCTAGCAATCACAAACTCATCCTTTTCAACAAACCTGTACAATAACACGTAGCTCTTAGTAATGGTTCAATGTCTGCCTCCCCTGAAAGTCTATAAATGGAACGCGGATGCTCTGTAGCTTCCACACAGAGCATGGAATCAGCTACAGAATAGGTATTCAATATCGCTAAGTTAAAAGAAGAAAAGAAAAGTCTTCCAAAATACATTTAATTCAGCCTTAACTTTACTAGCTGCTGCCTGCTGCTCTCCAAATGTCGGTGCGGGCTGAGGGGATCTGACTATCTCTCGCTGTCGAATGCTCCAGAGTGGAAGAACAACCCTCATCAACACTAGCGGATCCCGTGAGGTATATTGCAAAGGTGTGTCGGTGCCCGGAACTGTCAGGCCCCCAGTATCCGGCCTCAACTTCTTACTCTACCTCTGCCATCTGGCATCCCTGAAATGCACAAGACTGCATCAGGCCTCAGGACCACAGTATACATCTTCTCCAGGACCAGTTTTCACTAGCTGACGCTCAATGGCAAATGTAATAGCGTTATCCTGTTCCAATCTCTCACCCCTTGGCTATACTGCACCTGTGAGAGTCAATCTATAAAGCCTTAATAGCAGAAATAAAGCTTTATGCTGACCATTTTTCCTGGATCACAACGGCTCCCTTCAAACTACCTAAATATGCACTATACATATAGGTAAAGGATCACAAACACCATCTACCACACCCCAGAGTTCAGGAAAACGTAATAACGGTTCCATATACTGAGTCGAATTCTGTATGCTGAGTTGGGTCTCTCAGAATCCAGTAAGACCTAAATCTTGGCAACATTTGCCCATTTCTGTGCCAGTATTCTCAACTGGGTAGTCTTTTCTTGGACTCTATCTCTCACCTGTCCTGTCTGACCACAAAGCTGGAATCAGCTTTGATAAGACTTGGCCACTGTGGATAGGATGAGCCTGGGCAATGAGGCTTTGTTCTTCAGCAAAATAGAATTATCTTCCAATTCTGCCGGAAGAAACCTAGACACTAATGATTTAACAATGTTAAAAAGGCAAACCCGGACATTAATGATTTAATACTGTTAAAAGTGCAAAGAGCATCGGAGAGGAAAGTGCAAGTACATTATCAAATGTCATGTTGCATCCGTACACAGTTGAACCTTGAAAACAACGCTGGGTTTGAGGGGCCCCCGCCCGCAACGCAGCCGAAAATCATTGTATAACTTTTGACTCTACCATCTGCGGTTCGCATCTGCAGATTCAACACCCTGCAGATCGAAAATAGTACTTTTGATTCCCGGTTGGGAATCCGCCGTTGGGAATCCGCAGTTGGGAATGCGAAAATACTGTTCTCCATCCGGGGGGTTGTTGAATTCCCGGATGAGAAACCTGCAGCTAGGAAGCGCCAACTGTATAGAAAAAAATCTGCGTGTAAGGGGAGCCACGCAGTGGAAACCTGTGTTGTTCAAGGGTCAGCTGCAAATGCAAGGTATGTAAATTTAATAGGATAATAGTGAGAGCTTTTAAATTTAATGGAGTCGATTCCAGACTCCATCTAGAATAGAGGAAGCGTGATTTTATGAAGACTGCTGGGGATGTGCAGTCCAAAAACCAAAAAGGAGAGTTTTGATTACGAACCCCTAGAGAACTTAAAGTTAGCATGATCTAATGCCCAAAGGATAGAGTTTGCAGGCAGGTCTGTCTCCCAAAAATGTACAGCCCTCTTGTACTTAGAGATTATAACTGAGTTTTTCAGAGTCTCACGTAACACTTTGCAGCTAACCTGTTCTGAGTTGTCCAAATGACACTTTAGATGTGAGCAGGCCCATTACCTAAGCACTGGGAGTCAACTATGCAAGCACACCTTGCGTACCAAACGTTGGGTTCACGAGCCCTAAAGATAAACCACAGCTTTTTGTAACATGGGTCCTTGTATTTTCTTCATCGGTAGTGGAATAGAAAACTAGTCCCCCCTAGTGTCCTGCCACTGTAGGTGGCTACAGATGGAGACGCTCCTGCATGCTGCATCCAATGTAAAGCACAGCCCAGAAACCCACTGAAACTTCGCCTCCCTCGGGAGAGATGGAAGCACTCCCCGGACCTACGATGAAATGAAAAACCTTCATTTCATTTCCAAGGCCCTTCTGGTTTGAAAGAAAAAAGAATCTGCATTATCTCACACTGAAAAGTTAACCCACACCCCAGCCCACCTTATTAAATGAAGAGGGTCCACGCTTGTCAGCGACTTCTGCACACTCTACAATGATCGATATTTCCTTTAAAAACCTCTCTATCCCACTAAGGGGATTTGTTTCCTTTCCATGCCACTCTTGAAAATCCACCAAGATCTTAATCTTAATGACTTTCACCTCTCTGTCCCAGTTAGTTTTCTTCCTGGTATGGAATTAACAGGGCCAGGCTCGATAAATGTGTGTTCTCCTCAAGCAATTTTCACTAAAGTGAAGTACTCTTGAAAAATAAAGGCACACTAAGAGATGTGTGAAACCTTAAAGCCAGGTCGCTCTTTAATTTCCAGTGAGGACTCAGCATGCCTATGAGTAATTCATTCATGTCACCCATTTGTGAGGGTGAGAAAAGAAACCACCCCTTGAACCTTTCCTAATTTAGAATCTTCCCTTATTTTAAGTCTATCAAAGCTGACTCCAGGTGGGAAGACAGGAGAGCTGAGGAGGAAAATCAACCTAAGGTAACTGCCTCCACAAGTGAATAAGCACTCTGACTTCCCCCTGTGTCAGAGGGCTTGCATCTGCATCTACCTGAGGTGAACGCCCCACCTCTACCCTTCCCTAGCCCCCCCCTCCCCGCCCCCATGAAGGAAAGGGGAGCCCGAGCTCTCCCTTGGGGCACTTACATAAGACCCTGTAAAACTTCCTGTGACATTCACAAAACATGTAAGCTGCTATTTTCCTCCCTCAGGAGATCATTTTAGTGGGATAAGTGATGAAATTCAAGAATTCGGAATTTAGCAGAAATCTGCTCAGCCGAGGGACGAAAAGAATCCATCCCCATTAAACAGGGTCACTTGGCGGACGGTTTCAATGTAGGAGAGACAATCTGTTCCCTCCGAAGTGACCCATTTAAAATCAGATTGTTCCAGGGGAAGCTCATAGGTTTAATACATTTAAAACAGGCACGGGCAGGCTTTGCAGAGGTTCCTTAAAGGAAAATTTTAAAAGAAGGTAATAAAACAATGAAGGAAGTAACTTAAGGATGCACAAACTTTGGAGTCACTCCACCCTTCAGAAACCGTGACAGTCTCAAGAATGGCAGAATCGCTATATATGTTGGTCACCATCACAAGCAGCTTTGTCTCATAGGAGTTAATCTGGTCGGGTTTCCTCTCTACAGATATCGCTGCCACCCAACCCCCCTTCTTTCCTACAGAGGGACTCGCAAGCTGTGGCTGGTCACCTCAAATCCGCCTCCACTCTCTGCAACAAGGAGCAAAGAAAAGTTCTTGACAGCATCACGCCAGGAAAGGCAGGTGGGGATCGCCCAAGAGGGACCGCTCCGAACACAGTGGGTTCCCCCCAAGACACAGTGCGGAGGGAGAAGTGAGGGGGTGCAGGCACTTCACCTGGTGCTAACGAGAAACTCCGCTTGCTCGCTCTGTTAGCAGCCTGTGTGCCTAGAAGCCGGGCAAGCCGTGGGACGGGTCCTGGAGGCAGGAGTCTTAGGGTCTTCCACTTTCAGCGTCTCCAGGGCTCCCGACCCAGGCAGCAGAGGGTGTGCCCACACTCGCTCCCTCTCCGCCAAAATCCTGAGCATAGGGGGCACCAGCTACAGGTTCGGAGAACTTGTCCAGCGCCGCCCACCAGGGCGCTCCCGCGGTGGCTCTCTGGCACCCCCGAACTCTTACCTTGGCCGTGACGACCGCCAGGCAGAGAGAGACCGAGGAAGAGCTGGGTGGCGCGGCGGCGGCGCCGCCTAGGAGGCGCAAGGGGTCCAAGTCGAGGTCCCAGCAGGCGCTGCCCTGGTCCGGACCGCGGTGCCAAGCGTCCACTTCAGGGCGGCCCCAGGCCCCAAGGGCTGTGGGAAGGATCCGGGCCGCCCAAGCTGAGCACTCTCCCTCCTTCCTCTGACTCCGGCGCGGCTGCCTGGAGCTGTTCCCTGAAGCGGGGACTCTTCCGAGCCGTGGGCGCCCCGCATGGGCAGGGGCTTGGGTCCGCCTCGGGCTGCGTCCGGGGAGGGGGCGCTGGGTTAAGACGCAGACCGACCGCCGGGGCCAGCTCCACCTCCCGCGCTCCCAGCCGCTT